TACGTTTCCTGGTAGATGCGAAAAGCCATTGAACAACAGCAGAGTTCTGCCTTAAAGTGACCTTGCTTCGCTTGTTTTCGTAAGGGATTTGAGACTTAACCTCTGCGTTCGGTGTGGGGCTTCGCCTCCCAGATCATCTGCCGGGCTCCATCTTCATCCATCACAGTCACCTCCTCCGGCACCGCAGGCGTCAGAATCCTCGTCACACTGTGTGGGGTCTGCACCAAGCCCCGAGGCAAGATTCGACTGCTCTTTTTCAAGGTTCACTTAGTACGACCTGGCCACCTTACTCACCACCTGGCCAGTGCTAGCAGTGCTACGACCTGCGCCCAAGTGACTGTGACGTGTGCTTGCCGACCAAAAGCCGGGGGGATGGGCTGATCGCTGTTTGCACCTCGAAGGGAACGGGCTGAACCGTTGGTTTGATCGGCAAAAGGACAGCCCATCAGTAGCTTCTTGCTCCTAGTAGCGATGCCTTTTGTTACTAGAGGCGTCCTTGCTACTAGTAGTAAGGCCAGGAGCTACTAGTAGCTTCTTGCTCCTAGTAGCTTCAGTTGCAAGCTTGCAGGAATTCGCAGCATGATACTGCTAAGTTTCTCAATCCTTCTCATACATCTTGATCAACAAAGCAAGCAGGGCAGGCAAACGAGCTCAAAGCTTTCAGTCTTTGAGCAATCTTTTATCACTGTTTGGTGCTGCTCGGATCCTGGGTGTCTATCGATGCCATGGTGTTTTCTTAATCCGAGAGACTTCATCGTCTAAGCGGCCATAGATGAAGTAGTCAACAATTGGAGCTGCAGCCAAAGCTTCTTCTCCTCAGACCAACCACACAGCCTTTGGATGCCTTTGGTCAGTGTAGGAGGTGCACATCCCTTTCCACCAGAAGACGCTGATTCCTGGTGGTTTTCTTTCCCCCGGCCAGTGCGACATCGCAAGGTCCAATAGCAAAAGGAATCCAATAGCAATGGCCTCCAACGGAATAGCGATGGCCTCCACCCAATAGCAAAAGGAATCTAATAGCAATGGCCTCCACCCTATGAGCGATGGCCAAAACCCTTAGACTTAATGGAAATTCAACACATTCCTTGACTGCTGGAGCCATCCCTTCGATTGCAGCACAGGAGCATGACAAGTTCTGACCTACACGCGCATGTCTCCTACAGAGCTTCTCTACTCACCAGGCGGCTGCTGTGCTGGTCATGGAAGAGTAGGGCATCTGTCCAGGCTTTGTGCAACTTGGGCAGGGTCTGCTTTGCCCAATGCCTGAGCCAATGGGGGCGGCTCACCATTCAAAGTTAAGGGGGGCTTGTTCAAGACCATGCCATGCAAGCAAGAAAGCACGTCGCCCATCACATTGTCAACGAAAGGATTCCCCCGAGACGAGGGGTGATCACATGTGATCACCACTCGTGCCGTGTCAACCGTCCCTTTGGTCGTATACCGAGGACGAGTTTCCTTCGAAACGGCCACGAAACGAGTTTCCTTTGCTCGTCAGCGGCGGATCTGGAAATCCGGGGCACATGGCGGTGAGATCCCAAGCGCTGAAGATCTGTCTCATTTGAGGCTCCAGATTCATCAGCTCACGGTTCAAAGTGAGGAACCCTAGGCCATACCTCAGAATTGATCATGAGCTGCAAAGACCAAATGAGGGCAATGTTTTCTGAAATGGAGGCACGTTTTGGCTCAAGAACTCCAAGAGTGTTGCAAGCGAACTGTTCAGGAATCTTGGAAACTTCTGTGCTAGTTCAGTCAGGATAGTTCTCACGCCTTGCTCTTCTCAACGCAAAGACCAGGATGCTCATCATAACCAAAGGCTTGAACCACGGGCCACTTCTCAATGGCCATCTTGAGTTCCTGACACGCGATGGGTTTTTAGCATTGAACAGCTTCTGAGTACCAACTATGAGAAAGCACCCTAGATGATTAAAGGACCTGCTGACTGATTTACACACAAAAAGAAAGTCAAAGAAGACCCTTCGGCTCCTCACTTGGCACTGAAAAAGTGTACCCCCCTAGGTTAATCTCTATATCATGCCAAGGAAATAAATAGATTCGCATCAGAAAAATCACGGCTAAGATTCCTGCCTTATCCGAAGGGCATACATTGATTCATGCGGTGGAAAACATCCGATTAATCAGTAAAGCAAAGCAAGCGCAAGAATGTGCTTTTTAAAGCTCTTTGGACCATGTCATTACCCTCGTGACTCATGCAGTTTCCTTTCGTCAAGTTTAGACTCTTGGATCAAAGCTTCCATCTGAAAAGGAAAGAATGGAAAGGTCGAAAGGGAAGGGGATCACCATCTTCCGTCCCCTCAGTCTGATTGGATTTTGTTTTTGCTGCTTCAGCCCTTGACCGGGTCCTGATGAATTTCGCTCTGGCTGGCGAAAACGCCCAGTTTGCGGCAGTCCTGCGGATCTGGCGAGAAATCGTGGCGAGCTCAACCGCGGCGACGAAAAGACGTGGCTCTCTCAAGTGCGCCCAGAAATCGGAGTTAAATGAGTCAACAACCTGCCACATTGCTGGGAAAATAATGGAAAATTGGCATCGTCCTCAACATGTTGAGTCTTCCAAGCTGACATCTACAGGTGCAAATATGGCCGAACATGTCTGTGACAGACTTGCGGTGAATGCTGGTCAATCCAAATGTTCTTCATCTCATTCCATGCTTAGCCTTCAGTCAGGCGTAGCGTCTTGCACTCGTACATCCATATTGGCAATCACTAATTATGGCACTAGTGCCGATACATGAATTAGGCAGCGTCGATCCAAACAACTTATATAAGAACAAAAGAATCCATACAATGGGCTTTCCCCTCGATTTTCCATCTAGCAGGAAGTTCCAAGACCGATGTTCACATCTTGCCCACTTTCATTTGCTTCTCTCAGAAGAACCAACTTTCGCACCTTCACCATCTCGATGAAGGTGCCGATCTTCTTCTCTTCATAACGTTCTTGATCGTTTTCTTCCGGCGCCACCAAGAAGCACTGCTCCCATCGTGCCGTGCGCAAGCTCAGGTCTTCGAAATCTCCCTCGCGACAGGCGCGGGAGATTTAGGGACGTTCTCGCCAAACGGATGAAGTAGACAGACTCTGTCTACACACACAGACTCTGTAGAGAGACTCACACTTCGGTCATCTTGGGTCAAGGATGGAAATGGCCTTCTTAAATTCTAGCCATTCATCAATTCAGCTGCTGAGATGTCCTTCTGAGGTCAGAAACTCTGTTCGAAGTCGGTGCGTCTGTGCAACATCCCCCATGAATAGAAATCAACATGGGATCTTCAGCAATTGCAACCCAAAGGAGCTAGAGCCGACCTCGAAAGCAACCGTGTCTTCAGACACAGTCCCTTTCTACCTACTTTTACTTTTATCAACCAACCATCGAAAGCACACAAAGCACACAACACGACATGCCATGACACGGGACAGTCTGTATGTCGTACTTCATGATGTCTCAGTTCTAATCTCTTTGGGTAACCCAAATGTGTTTTGTTGACTCCGTCTCATCGCCTTTTTGCAGAAGATCAAGCTCCTTGGGCCCAAGCACACCTCAAAAGAAAGGCCGTGAGCAGCTGCCGAAACGGCAAAGTATTCAAAACAAAACGCAACACGCCAGCCTCCGTGTTTGTTTCAAGTGAAGCCTCTGTGGCCGCTTCCAGGGCCAGACATCACCCGCGCCGAAGAAAACACATGTGACATCCGACATGTTTGCCAACATCGGCCAGCGTTTTCTCACATCAAATGTCCAACCGGAAAATTCCAGGGGCAAATAACGGCATCCAGTACGACTCCATTCCTCCTCTGCCCGATCTAACTACCATGTGAAAGGCGGTCTGGAACTTATTCTACAAGCGCCCAAGTAGCACGTGTCCAACCGGCGAATTCCCAGCTCACCGAGCGAGGCACCAAAGACTCTTCGTATTGCCCGCTCACCGAGCTCAGTGCCTCCCGGCCGCTCAAGCCCAGCATGAGCCAATTGAAGACGGCCTCAACCGATCACGGCGATGTTCTGAAGTCTTTCTCTGAAAAAAACACATCAAACAGCAAAAGCGTCACCGGACAGCATCGATGGTCTCTGCTTTCACCCTCTTTCGCCCACATGGCCTCGTTCGCGCGGCTGAAGGCGGCATCGGGACCAATGGCGATAAGCAAGGCGTCCAAACCTGCGTGGCAGATCCGTCTCGGAAGTTCCACTGATCATAAAAAGAAGTCCTTGCTTCGCCTTAGGAAATGCCCCAATTTCGAAAGGAAGGAAGAAGACCTGAAGGCCACTGGGCCTTGCTAGGCTGATCTTGTTCAGCTGTCCACCTCACCGGGGGCAAACGAACGGCAGTTGACGGCCTTCCTGGCGCCGCAAGGCTTGCAGCCGCTCGAAGCGTTGATGGCAGGAGGCCGCCAGGTCATCCCAATCCGCCATGGGTGGCCACATCGAGAAGACGGTAGAAGACACAATATAGCGGAGCTATCACAAGAGAAAAACACGTCACGTGCAGCGTTTTTTCCGCGGCCTTTTATGGATATGTGCAATTTTTTACTTGGGAGAAGTTGCTGTCAGGTGAGGGGAAAAGATCTAGCTCTGACTCCAAAACTTTGCATGTGAGAAGGGCTGTTGATGCAACTTAAAGATGTGGAAGTTCAAGACCTTTTACAGATCATTTCATCCGTGCTCAGGATGCTTTCAGCTCTTTAAACAGGTCAATGACCTCTAAGATCCATCGGCGCGGACGTTGGCACACGTCTCCTGACACCCTCACTCGCCCGCAGAATCACCTGTCAGCTACTCCATGCCACTTCCCTCTTTCAAGGTAAACCAATCGGGCCCCTTGGTCTCAAAGGACTTGGTCTGATGCCATTCCTATGGATGAATGGATGAAGGAGATGCAAAAACAGAAAGGTAAGGACCCTTTCAAAAAAACAGACCAGAAAGAAGGTATATAAGGGCCTTTCTTTCTTTGAGCAAACCATAGCCCTAATTACAGGGCCCTTGGACATGCCTCGCCTCGCGGCAGCGTGGCCCCAAGGCGCAGCCCAGCAGCGCCAGCTTCGCGTGGCGCGGCGCCAGCGGCAGCGGCAGCGCCCGACGACCCAAGGAGCTGAGCTGCGTGGCGCGCGTGGCGCGTGGCCCGGCGCCAGCAGGTGTCAAGAGGCCCAGGCTGGCGATGGGACAAATGAGAAATGATGATCATGCCAAGTAGTGGATACTAGTAGAAGACCTGGGAAAAGTGCTGGGAAAAGAAAGGAGCGTGGGCAAACTGGCTTCTGTCTCTTATAATTCAGGGTAGTGTGCATGACGGGGACCTCACACCTGGTGGCATTGCACGGTCACGGCATGGTCATAGATGGTTTCTTTTCTCCGGTGGGGTTTTGGAGGTTGGCGCAAGCACCTTGGGCACATGGTTTCACCGTACCATGAAAAAAAACGACATGCTGTGATCCTGTTTCAATCGCTTGCAAGCATCCAAAGACCACACAAGACATATATGATCTTTTGTAGAATCTACTCTCCTTGCATCCTTTCCTCGTGGCTTCACTTCCTTCGCGCCTGATGAGCCGCTTAAGAGCGCTTTGTACCGCCGTCTCCTCTGGAGGATCCAACAAGGCCTGGCAGATCTCCTGAAGCCCAGCGAAAGCGATCGAAGGTCCCCAGGACTCGCAATTCACATGTTTTCACCTCACATCTTGCACCCCAAACACCAGGGTCCCACGGTCGCTCCCTGTTTCCCTGTTTGAAAATGGCTTGGTGGTCCGTGTTTACCATCAATGATTGAGTGGCTGGCCCTGGAAGGCACATCCATAAGCCAAGCCAACTGAAATTAGGCATCCCCACCGATCAGTAGTAAAAGAATGCTCTCTCACTCTCTGAACTGCCTCCGCCAGCCAATTATACTAATATGATCAGCAACCTGCTGTTCTTCTGTCTCTCACCGCCTTCGGGAAGAGTGTTTCGGCTCAAACATTCGGAGAAAAAACCCGCTTTTCGCGTGGAAAACAAGTAGCATCGGGGGGCGTCTCTCACCGAGGCGGTCGCCCGCCCGCAAAAGAGAGCTGAGGGTCGCCACCCCGGCCCCATGGTCTGTTCCAAGAGTCCATGGTCGTGTCGAAGAAGTCTGGCAGACCTAAGTGGATCTCGAAGCAAGTCAAAAAAATATTCTAGGTGCTAGTATCAGGGCCCAATTTAGATCCCATTTCAGGCATGAACACCTGTATTTTATGTTCCTCTTCCTCTTGGAAAACACGGGAGCCTGCAAGATTCTGCCCAAAACTCATTTGACCTGTAGGATCTTTCGGTTTTGGTGACTCGACACTAGGTAAGCCTCAAACGGAGCATGTGGTCACCCTTCTGCTCCCGGCTCCGAATGCAAAGCGGATGTTTCACGAAGAGCTTCACACTCAAAGGACCTTAAACGCATCTGAAGTTCGCCTTTTTGGACCAGAAAGGTCCTCAAACCCCAAAACACATCACTTGTGGTGGTGCTTGTCACTCGTCTTGTGCCCCATACAGTATCTGCCTGCGGCGTGGATCCGTAGGAGTAGTTCTTCCAAGGGAACTCGGCACACCTACAGGTCGGTCCAGACCGGGCACTCGGTCCAGACCGGGCACTCGGTCCAGTTCAAAACAAAGACCTCGTTGGTTTCTTGGGTTTTTGGTCCCAAAACGACGAAGCAAGATCGCTACGAAGATGCTTGCGGGTGATCATTTGTCTAGATGCTTCGTTCACTTGGAGTCTACGAACAACAAGAAGTTACAAGGAACAAAGGGCATCGCTACGAACGGAGCAAGGACGCGACTAACTAGGTAGCAGTGGATGATGATGGTGAACAAAGACCTTTCCCGGATTGTTACTCGTAATGGGATACGCCATGATACGCCCTAGATTGGGCAATGCCACGAGAAGAAGGTCGTTGGAACATCTTTTCAGATTTTTCTGAACCTTTTGATCTTGGAGTGGATAGCCTGATTAGAGTCCTTTCCTTTTTTGAGCTCCATCACCTCGAACCCTTCCATAAATGTTGCCCGAAGTTGCAAGGCTTACAGCCTCTGGCCTCAGGCTCTTGATGCTCTTCCATCAGCTGATTGTGGCAGTACTTGGTGACCAAATGCACGCAAACACCTCGAGGGAAGGGGACGTGACGAGAGTGAGATGGGATGTCCATCATCCACAAATCTTCCCGTCATCTGGACCAAACAATCTCTTCCCGAGTGCTTCATTGGAAATGCCCAGCAGGGCAGGCAGCAGAGTGGAGTGTCGTCCAGCGTCCAGGCAAAACATCTTAGGTTCAGGCTTCCTTGAAAAGGCCCCCACCATCGGGCTAAAACATGGACCAACCGATGAAGCAGGTCTGATGGAAGCATGGCAACTGATGAAGCTTGAAAACCACACTCTTTTGGGGCGATGCTCTTTGGCTCGCCTGGTGCCACGCGCCCCGCACGCCCGCGGCGCTGCAACGCGCTGGAGCGACACTCAAAGACATCCTGCCAGGGGTCGATGGTGTTCGGTGCGATCTCGATGGACAAGAAAAACAAGGTCTAAAGGTCTAAAGAAAAAAGAAGAAAGAAAGACATCAGAAAATGCACAAAGCTACTCGAAATAACAAGTACTTCTTCGAAAGTTTTGACAGACCGCCTGCAGGCTTGCCACCCGACGACCGCTATCATAGCGAAGCTCTTTCACGTGCCCTGGATCCGGGCCAAGTTTTGCGGAGATTCACGCCGAAAGTAACTTCTTTCAATTAGCACTAGACACTTGATGCAATTGATGCAACGAACTTTATAATGTCGCAGAAATATAGAGAGACTTGACCTATAGAGAGACTTGACCAAATCCACAGGGATTACATTTACTATCCTTTACTGTACTTCACCAGACTATTCAAATGAATGGTGTGGTTGCGGCTTAATTAGGCTTTAATTAATTGTCCAAAGATGTTAAAGGTTGGAGTGTAGGGTTTAGGGTTTAGGCGTGAAGGGTTCTAGGTTTAGGTTTCGAAAAGCACCTTTGCGCAAGCACTGTGGTTGTAGGGCTGTGCATTTCATGACCCGCAATGATGTGTATGTACATAGTGTTTAAACTGAAAGGGCCTTAGATGTGGTCGCAGCAAAGTACACCCTGCACCAGCCAAAAATATGATATTTTTTATTGTTAATCCACCGATCCAATGATTTTTGTTTTGACAGTGACTTCCTTTTTGTTATGACCATGCCTGTGTCAATGACCACGCCCACATCGTCAATGGTGATGCTCGTCTCGGCGATGTTCGTGGCCAAAATGATTTTCCGCACGCTGCCCGGAGCTCGCCGAAAGACCAACCTCAAAAAGACCCGGCAGAAGCAGAGGTAGGGGATGGTCGGGGAGGGTCATTTACATTTAACGTATATTAATATGGTCGACAGTAGTATTGGAATGAAACCGAAAAGTGGAGGTGTGAACTCTGCAGCCCAGATCCACCTCCCATGTCATCGATGTACTATTGCAACCTTTAATTGTGTTGCTCAAAGAGGATATCATGGTGGACTTGGATTGGAAGCATTAAAAGTTGAAAAATGAAAGACTGATCTATGCCCTACAGTCTCACGTACCACACTGGCGGCTTTTCTTAGTGGGACAACTGGAATATGCCCCCTAGAACCTATGTTGCAAATCAATTCCTAACTGTCTTGAAGCTTTCATTAGGTTTCACATGATCTCCCAAGGTGACATATTTACAGCTGAACAACTAACTAATCAGAGGTGCATTGGCGAACACCGCTCTCATGCCCATCATACATGGCTGCACCCTCTGATTGTGACCTTCCCTCCAATACTGATTAAGGTCGTGACAACTTGTGATGTTTTTCTACCCCAAAAGACCACAATAGCTCTGGCATGCTCTGGCTACTGACCGTTACTATTACTATAATCACTGTGTGCACTGTTTCGAAGATTCTAGTCACTAGTCGTTGACGTTTGCTCTCGGGTGGTGCGAAACGGACTGAAACAGCAGCTGGTTGGCACTGCCTCTGCTGCAACTGACACACGGATGCCAATCAGCTCAAGCCTTGAGAGGGGTGAACAACCGTGTGATCTTGCCCCTGGTCAAAAACAGGTGTGGTCAGAAGAACCTTTTGGAATCAACATGCTCCCAAACTTGCCTTGAAGGCAGGGCCAGTCGGTTACCTAATCTATTCACACTCTTCCGCCTGACACGATTGCATTCACCGCCAAGATTCTGCTGCTCATCGTGCTGCAAAGAACTATGCAGGTTGAGGATCCAAGAATTGGCGGGCTCCTCACAGTGTCTCCCCCAAGGTTTTTGCAAAAACCACAAAACCCCACCCACCTAAAAATGAACACGTCTCCAGACCCGCTGGCCTTCCGTAGCTCGGGCGCCGCCTCTAGGAGTGCAGAACGCATCTGGGAGATCTCTTTCGCCTTGGAAGCCAAAAGCCAGAGTCAGTCAGGTCAGGGTAGTCAGTCTGGGAGATCTCTTCCTTGACCTTGACTGACTACCCTGCTCTTGGCTATATCTCTGAGGCCACTGAGGTCTGGCGTCTTCCAGGAAGGCGGTCTTATCGATGCTAGGCTTGGCTTGACCCCCCCACCGCGGAGTCTCACTACCCGGACGACCATTTCAAAACGCAATCTTTCAGCTGAGCGCTGCAACCAGGCGATGTGACGACATGATACGACATGCCCATTCGGTCGATGTGACACCGGTTCCGTTCGGAAGAAGGCTTTCTGAAAGCTGCCCCTTGAGGGCCTTGTAGAACCCGTGCCAACCTACTCAGGTTCATAGGGTTGGCTTGGCCAATCAGCAGGTTCGGCTGGGCTTGGGGTGACTCAAACTATGTCACTATGTGTCACGGACGACACTGCCAATCCACTTACCGGTCTTTGGAAGATCTCAACCTCTTATCCAAAGAGTTGTGCCGATCAGTTAGTTTCATTGAAGCAAACAAGTTACCGACACAAACCCCTCCCAAAGCACGCTGTTGGAAACGCACCAAATGCTGATGGCGCGGGCAATACCTCGAACAGCTCAACGGGAAAAAAATAAGTTTATAAATACAAAAGAATCATTACTCATTTCAGGATAGTGGACCATTTTATAAGGGGG